GATGTCTGGTATCTGGTATCTGGAATCTGGTATCTGGTGTCTGGTATCTGGTATCTGGAATCATATATCTGGTATCTGGTATCTGGTATCTGATGTCTGGTATCTGGTATCTGGAATCTGGTATCTGGTATCTGGTATCTGGTATCTGGTATCTGGTATCTGGTGTCTGGCGTCTGGTATCTGGTATCTGGTATCTGGTGTCTGGTGTCTGGTGTCTGGTATCTGGTATCTGGTGTCTGGTGTTTGGTGTTTGGTGTCTGGTATCTGGTATCTGGTATCTGGTGTTTGGTGTCTGGTATCTGGTGTCTGGCATCTGGTATCTAGTATCTGGTGTCTGGTGTCTGGTATTTGATATCTGGTGTCTGATGTCTGGTGTTTGGTGCTGGTATCTGGTGTCTGGTATCTGGTATCTAGTATCTGGTATCTGGTATCTGGTATCTGTTATCTTTTATTAATTATCAGTTTTCATTTTTCGTTTTTCATTTTTCATTTTTCATTTTTCATTTTTCATTTTTCATTTTTCATTTTTCCTTTTCGTTTTTCGTTTTTCGTTTTCCGTTTTCCGTTTTCCGTTTTTCGTTTTTCGTTTTCGTATTTCGTATTTCGTTTTTCGTTTTCGTTTTCGTTTTTCGTTTTTCGTTTTCGTTTTTCGTTTTTCGTTTTTCGTTTTTCGTTTTTCGTTTTTCGTTTTTCGTTTTTCGTTTTTTTCGTTTTTCGTTTTTCGTTTTTCGTTTTTCGTTTTCGTTTTCGTTTTTCGTTTTCGTTCTTTCTTTTTTTGTTTTCGTTTTCGTTTTTCGTTTTTCGTTTTGTTTTTCGTTTTTCGTTTTTCGTTTTTCGTTTTTCGTTTTCGTTTTTCGTTTTTCGTTTTTCGTATTTCGTTTTTCGTTTTTCGTTTTTCGTTTTTCGTTTTTCGTTTTTTCATTTTTCATTTTTCATTTTTTCATTTTTCATTTTTCATTTTTATTCATGTTTCATTTTTCATTTTTCATTTTCCATTTTTCATTTACATTGATCATTTGTCATTTTTCATTTTTCATTTTATTTTCATTTTTCATTTTTCGTTCTTCGTTCTTCGTTCTTCGTTCTTCGTTCTTCGTTTTTTTTCGTTTTTCGTTTTCGTTTTTCGTTTTTCGTTTTTCGTTTTCGTTTTTCGTTTTTCGTTTCGTTTTTCGTTTTTCGTTTTTCGTTTTTCGTTTTTCGTTTTTCGTTTTTCGTTTTTCGTTGTTTTCGTTTTTCGTTTTTAGTTTTCGTTTTTCGTTTTTCGTTTTTCGTTTTTCGTTTTTCGTTTTTAGTTTTCGTTTTTCGTTTTTCGTTTTTCGTTTTTCGTTTTTTCGTTTTTCGTTTTTCGTTTTTCGTTTTTCGTTTTTCGTTTTTCGTTTTCGTTTTCGTTTTTCGTTTTTCGTTTTTCGTTTTTCGTTTTTCGTTTTTCGTTTTTCGTTTTTCGTTTTTCGTTTTTCGTTTTTCGTTTTTCGTTTTTCGTTTTTCGTTTTTCGTTTTTCGTTTTTCGTTTTCGTTTTTCGTTTTCGTTTTTCGTTTTTCGTTTTTCGTTTTTCGTTTTTCGTTTTTCGTTTTTCGTTTTTCGTTTTTCGTTTTTCGTTTTCGTTTTTCGTTTTTCGTTTTTCGTTTTTCGTTTTTCGTTTTTCGTTTTTCGTTTTTCGTTTTTCGTTTTTCGTTTTTCGTTTTCGTTTTTCGTTTTTCGTTTTTCGTTTTTCGTTTTTCGTTTTTCGTTTTTCGTTTTTCGTTTTTCGTTTTTCGTTTTTCGTTTTTCGTTTTTCGTTTTTCGTTTTTTTCGTTTTTCGTTTTTCGTTTTCGTTTTCGTTTTTCGTTTTCGTTTTCGTTTTTCGTTTTTCGTTTTTCGTTTTTTATTTTTCATTTTTCATTTTCCATTTTTCATTTATAAAATGTTCGATATAGCATTAATGCCCTCTATAAAATTGTATGACAACTCAGATTTATGTGAGGATCCGGCAACGTCGCATGTCTAGCTACCGCACGACTTGCAAAAAAATGGCGCTTGACACTTGACATATGTAAACCGTGTTCGCCTAAGGATAGCACGTTCTTTCTTCAGTGTAAATGTTTTATGATTTGACAGGAATGAAAATTATTTTTACTTTTTACCTTATTTAAATCTGCTGAAGATTAATAAGGGTACCTCTCAGACTTCTTCAAAGATGACATACATTATCACGATAGATATACACTGAGGCACTTCGTCTGAACCGAAAAACTGTAAACACTCGGCACCCGGTATCACTAGACTGTTATATATTATGCTATAAGCACAAGTCTTGCTATGTTGTGGATTTCTGGTCTCTTCAGGAATTGATCTTTGGCACTTATTAGGTCTTACAATCATATTTGTCGTATTTAAGCTGATGATGACTTCTATAAATTGCTAAACGTCACACCCGATTCCACTACATAGTTGGGGGTAAAAGACAGGAATGAAAATTGTTTACCTCATTTAAATTTGCTGACGATTAATAAGGCTACCTTTCAAACCGCCCTCAAACGTCTTGAAAGATGAACTAAATTATCTATAGATACACTGCGGTACGTCGTCTGAACCGAAAAACTGTAAACACGCGGCATCACTAGACACTTGCAAGACACACAGCTATAAGCAGAAAGTTTTGCTATATTGTGGACTTGTTGCCTTTTTAGGATGGATCCATATAAACGTTCATCTAAAATTATGCCACTCATTAGGGTTTACAATCATATTTATCGTATTGAAAGTGATGATGACTTTTGTAAACAAATCGCTAAACGTCAAAGCCTAAATGCTTACTTGCTGATAAAATTACAACGTTGCCAAGACATACTTGATTATCATTATAATAATGGCTATAGTCCGGTCTGTTTAGACTATGAAATATAGAAATTCTGAATCTATTCGAAAATGTTGATTTGCACGCGTAAAAAAGGACAATTCTATTTGGCGTGATCCAATATTGGATGAAGCGATAGTCATGAAGCCGAAAATGGCCCGTTTTTGACGTTCCGCCTGCACTCGCTCGCTTTCGTAATACGATCATACCTACATTACCCCGCCTAACAGGAATCGCGAATCTGGAGGGGAAATTCAAAATTGAAACTTCAAACTAAAAATATCTGCATATCTTTGAATTTTCTAATCTGCCGAGTTAAAAAATGCGATCGGGTAACGTGTCGTATGTCGGTTAATCAGGAGACTTTGGTCTTTCGTTTTGCGAAAAAAAAATCGTAGCTACGTCGCTCCGTAACGCAGGTCCGTATCGACGAAGACAAAGTACGCCGAAAAAACGGCTGTCATCGGTTCCTTTGAGGCGCTCAAAGTTTTACTTTTTCGAAATTTGACGGTAATTCTAACGGTCAGAATCGTTTCCTCAGCTCATTATCGTTATATTTCGATAGCTGTATAATTTTTACTCGCTCACGTACAGTAGTAATAGGCAAGGACAGAGCCGGATGACAAAGTGACTTTTTCGCGCATCGAAAAGTAGCATGTTGTCGGGCAATTTTTAAAAAATCGAAACTTCCGAATGACAGGGAATAAGGAAAAAAAAGACGCTATCTTTGAGTCCGATGTCCGGACATTCTCACGCAAAAAGCGTCAGGTAGCTCCTTTATCTTCGGAGGAGATCGAAAAGCCGCGTCGAACGGCACGAAATCTACCGATTTTTCAACTTTACCGGCCATTTTCGATCGCGTTTGTTCCTCCTACCGCGACAAGTCTCGCTCCCTCGTAAAGCGCCGAGTTTCTAGTTTTCCTTCCGAACGTTTCGCGAACCCGGAAAAAAACCGGAAAAATCGGAAAGTTGCGCGTAGTCGAGGAAATCAAAAAAATCGAAATTTTCGAACGAAAAGGCATAAAGAAGAAAAAAGAAAGCCGCTATCTTTGAGCCCGAAACCGGGGCTTTCTCGCGCAAAAATCGCCAGGTTCGCAGCTCCTTTATCTTCGGCGGAAACCTATGTAGAACGTCGGACAGAACGAAAATCTACCGGTTTTTCGACTTTACCGGCCGTTTTCGATACGATCCGTTCCTCTCACCGCGACGGCTCCCGCTTCCCGGTAAAGCGCCGAGTTTCTACTTTCCGAAACGGTATCGCTTTCCTTCCGAGCGTTTCGCGAACCGGGAAAAAAACGGAAAAACCGCGTCGACGTCATACGACAATTTCCGAACCCCTACCAATTATACCTATTATACCAATTCGAACAAAAGATCACCGCTTAATATTCTCGATTCTTCGGT